CAGAGCGACTGCAGTGGCATGGTCATTCGCCTGGGATGCTGATTGGTCTGAAACAAGTCGATTTGTTGCATTTACCCTGGTAACTTTGTCATCTGTCCTTCAAGTTTTCTTAGACATTGATATACTGAACATAAGTAACCGTGAAGGATGGCATGAAAAACATAGGCCCTACTGAACACATTTTTGGCAGTCTGGTTTTGAAATAGAAATAAGGTCATAGCTAGGGGAAATTTTGCTTTGAAGTGAGGGAAGAGCACATGTCAAAGCTAGTTTACAACTTGGCCAGACCAAGAGGGTGGCGCCAGGTTGGTCTAATTTAGGTGGTTCTACCCTGGCCAAGAGACCACTTACGTCCCAGACCTTTCGTAGCTCGATATCATTTACCGGTATTTAGGTTGAAATTTATTATATTCTCATTCTACTTCTAAAACTTAATTGTTTACTACATAAAAAATTTAGTCATAATCTACATTTTGATGTTTATTTGAATTAATTTCAGTTATATGTCCAATTAACAATTATTGATTTATATTTCCTCCTGTTAAGAGAAGAATCACAAAAATAACTTATTTGTATTCGACATAAAACTGAATTAGAATTAGAATATCATAGTCATAAATATTTATTCTATATTTATTGCATTCTTATTTGTACTAAATAGAATTGAAATTTGAACTAAACTCAAAACTAGATTTATGAGGCTTTGTCTAGATGTGGTTATTGTGAGGCGACTTGGCTGCATGTCTTTTAGTTGGGTTCATATGGACCTCAGGTGCTATGACCAAATCCTAGAATTCCATACTTGCTGTTTCCAGTTGAATAATTTGATCGAGCCTTGCTACACTTTTTCCCCAGATTGACTCTGTGAAGAAAGAAATCTATGTCGCATTCAATACGAGTCATTTACCCGTCACCATTTCACTACCAGAGCGGCCTGGCTACCGGTGGGAGCCCTTGGTAGACACTAGCAAGCCTCCGCCATTTGATTTTCTCTCAAGTGACGTTCCGGGAAGAGAGACTGCTCTGAGACAATATGCTCATTTTCTAGATGCCAACCTCTATCCTATGCTTAGTTATTCTTCCATCATTCTATTTTTGTCACCGGATGAAAATAGTTAGCTTAAGCTCTAAAGTATGAACATATATGTGCGTTTATATCTACGTCGGTGCCTTATTATTCTTTTGCGAGAATAATTGATTCAAAGAAGTAAATTTTTTTGTGCTTCATTTCAAAAGGCTTGCAAATTGTATCACCCTCAAGAGGGGCCAGTAAGAGAATGTCATATGTATACCTCTATGCAGTCTGTAAACATATGTTTATGAAGTTATATGCTTCTGGTCAAACCAAAGCATGAAGAGCAAATGGAAAAGAATACTGAAAGGCAAAGTACGGAATTGTTTGATGTGGTTGGATTTTGTTTTACTTTAAATTTTATGATTTTTGTTTTGTTTTGTTTTGTTTTGTAAGAGTTCAATATGTTGATTTTCTGAAAATGATTAGTTTTTTAATTATTATCTTATGAATTCTTTTTTTTTTTTCTTTCTCAATTTTAATTTATCTGTCATTCAATTTTATGTATTCATATTTAAAAGATAAAACATATGTCGATATCTTTATATATATATAAAAAAAATTAGTGTGTTTTATATAAAATGATACAAAATTAAATAGCATAGAGTTGGAACTATAAGATATGTATATTTGAACTTAACAAAATTAAATTATAAAAGTAAAATTATACTTTGCCTTGGTTATATTTGAACCATAAAAAAGAAAGCATTGTACTTAAACAATAAAATATTTCTAAGTAATTCTTTTTAGTATATAATTTATATATTTATTATATATGTAAATAAATTATAATACAGTATAAATAATTTCTTTATTATGTTTGAATCTTGTAGCAACATTTTGATAATTTATATATTACATGTTAATGTAATGATTTGATAATATATATATATTATGCTTTTCATTAAATTGCTAAGACAAACCAATATATATCCATCATACAATGTACTTTCTATAATTAATTAGATTTATTAATCTAAACAAGTTAAATTATTATTTGCATCACAATATTATGTAAATCATTTTATATTTACAACTTTATTTGTGTATTTTACAGTTTGAATTGATATTTATAATATAGAAGTATAGACATAACAATGATTATTTTTTATTATTTTTAATTGTTAATTATTTGCAAATCAAAAGTTTATGAATTGTATTAATGAAATAAAATAAATTACAAGTTAAATTTAATTATTATTATTATTATTATTATTATTATTAAAGGATGATGAAGGTAATTGTTTTTTTAGGAATTAAAAAAAAAAAAAAAGAAAGAAAATTCGGGGTTGACGTGTTTCTGGAGTTCTCTGGAGAGTCACAGAAAGCTCTTCTTCCGTTCTTCAGCGTTCATTTAACTCCTCCGCTAGTTTCCATTGTTGTAACCGGCAGGTTTTCTTCTTCTTCTTCTTCTTCTTCTTCTTCTGCTTCTCTTGATCATCTAATCCAGACTGTATCTCTTTATCCTCTTCTTGCTGTTGTAGATCGAGCGCGCAAGAATTGGTCTGTTGAGAATTTAGGGTTTGATCTTTTGGGAATTTCGTTATAAGAACATGGCGGGAGGTGGCTTCTTGCCTATGAAGCTGAAGAGGAAGGATCTTGACCAAGTTAACGATGATTTCTCCGATTTCTCTTTGTCTTCTCCTGCTAGAAAGATTCGCCGCCTGGTACAGTCTCTCACTTTCTCCTGCTTTGTGTTTGGAATTGTTTACTGTTTTTTTTTTTTCAACGAAACCCGATGTCTTAAAATTTGAAGCAACGGCAGGCTTTTCCTTATCATCATCATTGTTGTATTTTTTAGGACGCGGATTTACCGCCAATAATGGAGGAAGAGGAGCACGCTCTTCCAGAAAAGCTGGCTTATGGAGGTGTAGTAACGGGAACGGAACTGAACTCAGTCCCAGTCAACCACGAGAGAGCCATTGTTCTCTTCAACCCTGCTAACTCTCCTTTGTACTATTCGCCTTCTGATGTTTCTGTTTCTGTTGATCCATTAGTCATTTCCGAATTCAAGAGTAAGCTCCATAACTGACTTAACCTTCCTTTTCAGTTACTTCTTACGTAGTATTGAGCCTGGTGTATCTCGTTGGTGGACTTGAACCGTCTTCTTTCATTACGTCGGTACACATTGCACAATGGCTTCTCAAGTTGCCATTTGTATATTGTTCAATCCGAAGAGATTCTAGATATATTGGTGCATAAGTTTAAATCTTGGTCTGGTAATAGACACAGCTCATGTCAACTCACTTTGATGAACTGGGTTCCCTTGCAACTTTTTCTTTTTTTTATCGATCAGCAGTCTTTATATATTTCTGCCATGAGAGTGATCTTTTTCGATTCAATTGCCTTCAATCTGAATGCTTTCTATATTTGCTTAAACGGAGTTTTTTGGTGCTATACTGTAACTTATACTCCACCTAGTTATCTATTATTCAAACATGTGATGTTAGCTTTTAATGCTGGATTAGTATTTTGCAGAATTTTTACTGACCGAGTTGTCTGCTGCAATGTTTTGCAGATGAATTTCTTCGATCTGCCTGTTCCGATGAGGGAAAATCAGTAGATGATGATGAAACCTCTAGATACAAACAGAAAAACAGGATAAGCAATGGATGTTTAGCTGTTGTTCCTTGGGTTCCTTCTCAATTTCCTTACACGCAAAGCACAGAGATGTCCCAAACAGAGACTCCAGAGTTGATGGAGGCGGACGAAGTTGGGGAAGCAACTATGGACATAGAAGAAGACAATAATGCGACTTTGCCAATGCAGAATGCATATGAATTTGGTGGAATGAGCGGTAATGAAGGGTTACAATGGCCACAACAGCATTGCATGATGCCACTTCCTCCTCAAAACACCTCCACTCCGATCACATGGTTCCAATAACAAGTTCTGGGTGGGGCAAAAAATACTGCCCTTGCTGATGGGAAAGGCGAGTAGGATTAGCAACAGAGTTCCATGGTTTGTTTGGCTTCTGAATCTCCAAGCCCCACCAAGAAGGATCCGAAAGGAGAATGGAATTAGCTAAGAGTTCCTTATGTTTTTTTATTTCTGAATCTTAAAAGCAAATGCCAAGGTCATTGTAAAAAAGTGTAGTTAAATATGGGACTCAGCTTGGAAATTGTCAATACCATTTTGGATGAGTGGGTTGTATGACTTATTGCTTCAATGGTAAGAGTGATAGTGGGATTGAAATGTTATGGAGTGTGGGCATTTTCTTTAATGGTTGTCTGAATTTGTTTTTTTTTGGCTGTTGGTTGGCGCTTAGCTGCCTTGTACAGTTGCCTCAATTTGATTTGGATTTAAGACATTGGTTGGGCCCAAACGTTTTAGAGGCTATTAACGCAGACCGGATTATAAAGTTAAGAGGACGTGATCTTGTGGGGCACTCTTCGGGCTTTTTCTACACCATGAATTTACTGCAGCTTATGCTCCATCAAGATCCGTAAGGGCCACCTTTAATGTTTACTATCTGAACATTTTGGTTTTTTAGTAAATCATAAAATTAATAAAAAGCAAAAATAGACGTTACATAATGTGTGCGGATTATGTATACAACTAAAACACCAGTAGAACAACAATAATTGTTGATTTCAACAACTATAGGGGAAAAATAATCGTATAATTTCAACAATAATATTTGTATATTGGATTCTGTGTATTTGAATATGATGAATAATCTCGTTAAGAACAAAGTTAAAACAAATTGAACTGTAAATTTTTTTACAAAGTAATTGCTACTACTACTAGCTGCACCCAAATTAGAGGTTTACTTATGTGACACATACTTCAGGTTGGACCATATTTCACCACTCCCATCTCTAACAAAGTACATAGACTTCAATTCTACACTCTCAATTGCAATACAAGTGACTCAAAAATTGCCATCGACCTTTTGTTGCCACTCTCTCTGGTTTATTTCCGACCAAAAAAAAAAACACATTAATGAAGAGAAACTTAACAAGATCAAACAGCCACACGGTTACACCAGATTAAATCAATAAAAAAATGCCTCAAAAATATTAAGTAAAAATTAAAATAGTTTACAAGAATGTGAAACTCCACTATTTCGACAGATTACTGAAGATTCACATCTCTATTCCAAAAGTATTTCATCAATATATGGGAATAGATATGGTCATTGAGGCCCTGAGAGCATACTTCTAACATTCCGATTCCTTGTGCAGTCAGTGCTCCAACATCAAGCACAGGACCTAGTCTGTAACTTGAACGACAAAAGACTCTACCTCAGGTTAAGGTTGAACAGATAGTGTAATAAGCTCGCCAGCCAATATTATTGTGCTTTCTAATCTCCTGCTACATATGTCTTCTCCTCATAATACTTCTTCTCACTCATTGATTTCTTCGCATTGCGTTTCTACAATGTAAATTGAATCACATAATGCTATAAGCACTGCCCAAAAGATGGAAGCGATAGTAGAAACTGTAAGCATCATACTCTACCTACACTTGATCTTTTTATGAAAAGGTAGGTTGACCTTTTTGGCCTCGTTGCAATTTAATTCCTACAGTTCTTTCTGATACTCCAGTACCCGTGGTTTAGGGTTTTGTTAGTTTACATAGATCTCTTGGTTCTCTAGAAAAAATATGCATATGATATCTAAACATGAACACATACAAGTTCAAAACTAAACTCATCAAGAATAACGAGAAAATTAAAAACCAATAAAATAATAGTCTAAATACTACTAAATTTAGAATGACAAAATTTAAAGAATGAGGCACTCATTTATCATCCAAATAAAAACACAGAATTGAGTCCTAATAAGATCAAATGACAAGGGTTAAACTGTAACTTACTTTTTTTCTTAGATCTGCAACGATGGGCAGGTTCCAAGAAAATCAAAAAGTCATCCTTCTAAATTAATTATGACTTAGATAAAGGGCTTCAACCTATATTCAGGTAATCATAGAGCTAGCTATAATAAAGATTTGTTAGGGGCTACTATTTGCAATTAAAAGTTTTTTGACGGCAAAAAATGAATCCTTGATTGATTGGTAATAAACTCACCTGCCCAGTGAATCTATTGGGACTCAGTATGAAGAAACATTAAATTAGATAACCAAATACCTTGTAAGCCTTATGATTGGCAACTATCCTTTGGGCAATGGAAGTTGTGGTTATATTTTTAGGGCTTTCTATCATCCGAAAAATTCCCATACTCTTAGGAACTGCATATGGGTCCGCCTCACCCTGTATGAAACATACCTATTTTGCTTAGATCCATTGTTGAAGACATTATCAAAATATTCTTAAGAAAAAGAATTAACAGACTTACAGGCAACAAAGAGGTGGTCTCCGCCACTGTCCCATGCACAACCAAAGAGATGTTGAAAGTTGTGAGCTGCTCATGCCAAGACAAAAGAAAAATTCAGGACTCCCATTATCTTTTTTGATAAGTAAAAACCATAATTTGAGTTGCTAATGTAGCACAAGTCATGAAATATCAACGTCCAGGTTGCCTTCAGTATTGTTTTAGCAGAATGATTAAATCAATATATATTATGTTAGCAGGAAAGTTACGACATTGATTAAAAGGGTTGCATTTGCATATAATTTCTACTTCATTTGTAACAAATACGGATAACACCATGAAGAGAGTTGAGCATTTAGTGATCCATCCAAATCTATAAAAATAATTTCGCCTAGAACTTAACCTGCAACATGGTATACTTATCATGAGGAATGGAGGATCCAACACAGATTATATATATCAGGCTTTCGGCTCAAAAAGAACATATGTATATACATCCACTTTGAGAAACACTTTAAACAATAAAATAAATAGCATACCATGTCCCTTGTGATTTCCCAAGGTGCACCAATGATAACTTCATCAACATACCGACAAGCCAGAACACTAAGGCTACGCTCGTGTAGATGCATGATAGGGTAGTGCTTCCCTCTATGCTCACTGCATGAGCAGAAACGTAGAATTATTCCTACTATTTTCCTTTCAATCATGAAGGCTAACGTACAGTTGCAAGCAGCCAAAACTTCCAAAAGGATGAAATAAGAAACATGTTGTAAAAATTAAATTCATACCTCACAATCAGATCAGTATGGATACCAACTAGCAAGAAGTCACCAAGCTGCCTAGCGCACTTCAAGATCTGCATAGCCAAAAAGGTTAACCAGTGACAGGTAAAGTGCAATGAAATAACAAACTAAAAGTTCCTTACCCACTCAAGAAAGAGTAAGAGAACTGTACTATTTCCTCCATATGCAAAAGATAAAAGATTAACATTCTAAATCAATTATTACTAATAATTCATTCGATACTTCAATTTTTAACTTGACCAATGGCATTTGGTGCTTCACCAGTTCTAAGGTAAACAATACAAAAACAGCCATATTTTCACTAACCTGTAAAACTTGAAAGAATATTTTTTTTTTTTTTTTAAAAGGCAAAACAACAAAAGACAGTTAATTAAATTACATCCACAACATAATATAACCAAACTAACTGCTTGTTCAAACAGGAAAAGAGAACCCTTAAATCTCAAGCAGGTGAGACAGTTGATAGCATTCCATGCTCAAGAAGAGAACAATGATGAGAATAAAATGACTACATTAACAGATAAATTTGATTGATAGCATTAACAGACATCACATTAACCTGCATTTCAAAATGGGAGAAAATCATAAAACATAATTAAGAAGGAACCAACTCACTTTGGTTAGGTGATTATGTCTCCCTCTTTCTCAAGAGGATAGAGGTTCGAGCAATTAATAGCCCCATTTGGGGGCCCATAAAAAAAAACTAAAAAGGAAAGCAAGAAATTATTTGCAGGATTAAATTTTAAAAGACAACAATACCTCCACATGCCCTGCATGAAAAGATCAAATGCTCCATCGATATATACACACGAGCATTTGGTCCAGGCCCCTGAGACAGAATTAAAAAAATAAATCTTACTAGTGAAAAAGAGAATTCGACAAGGACCTGAACGAAAGGACAGGGGGAGAGCGGTGACAAGAAGACTCGGGCAATTCTCTTTATGGAGGTAGTTACGGGAGCGAATTTACAATAGACTAACAAAGTTTAATGCAACTTCAGAATAATATATATTAGCAACTTAGCTCTTGGATAATAAACTAGAGGAAAAAGATCAGAAGAATAAACGTAAGGAACGCAGTTGCTCCTCCTTTCAGTTGTTTGTCTCAATTCAGACTATCTTTTATTACATTATGTTGTTCCACTATGCTTATATCCAATCATAAGCCCCAAAACTATCTTAAAGGGATTATTTCACTAATAAATATCCTTGCTGACTTTAATTTATGGTAATTTATCTTCAAAATCCTGTATGTAATATATTGTCTTAAATATTAATAGGAAATTCCAGTAACCAAAGTGCTTATACTTGTACTGAACTAGAAGAAAGATTATTTTTTTTCTGAAATAAAACTAGAAGAAAGATTATGTTTTGTGTAAACCCAAATTAATGCAAACAGCACAGATCTCCATAACACTAGTTGCTCGAACATGGGCTGGTTCAATTATACATGGTATAAGAATGATCCTTCAAGTTTACTATCTATTCGGAAAGACCCTGAAAGTGGGATGCTAAATTATCCATTTCTAGCTTTAAAAATTGAGGATGGAGTACCTTCCCATTTGAAAACTGCACAATCCTTCGAGATGTTGGCAGGAAATGAGAGATGTGGGCAGCCATGGATTGGCTTCCCTTCTGAGGATCTTCATACAAAGGCACATCATTGTGCTCTTTACAACAATCCACATCCTTCACAGAAGATAGTATCCTCCCTGCATTTAGACAAATTATGAAGTAATTTAAAACAAAAATAATTAGCATGTGTGTTAAGAAACAAAGACATGTTAAACAATGCCGAAACCCGAAAATGCTTAAGGACATCTCATGTCTAAACAATTATGTTGACTTGTCCTCAGAGTCTAATAAATTCGAGCCCTTGTTATAGAAACCCTAAGAAGTAAAAGAATAGTCGTGCTGAACAAAATCCTGCCTTTTCTCAACAAATGAATGGTGTTATTTTCCCAGTCCAAACGAAAAGGAAATTGAAAAAAAAAATTGAATTGGCATAGCTAATCAATAGTACCTACAATATCTGTGCTGGAGACACCTTCAGTGCGCTTTATCTGCTTGTAGCGGCCAGCTTTCTTAGCCAGAGCATAAGCATCAGTTCCATCAGGAAGCAGACAAGGGTCATCACCATGTATAATGTAATCAATCTTATGCTCATTGAATAGAGTCTTCATAAATTGCTCAGTAATTGCATATGGAGCATTGGCAATAACTTGATCCACCCACTTCAGTCCACTCACAAGGGCCAGCCTAGAGACAAATCAGATCAATTATTATTGGCTAGCCTAAGACCTATGGAAATAGGAAGCTGAAAATGGTGAACTGTTAAAAAACAGCACAGGAAGCATGTCAAGTTTGCTATATTTGCCTCTGAATCTGTCAGGTAAATTTAAAAATTCTGGCCATGATTTAAACTTATAGTAACCAATTGTAAACGACCGAAATTTCTTCATTGGCCGTGCAATTCATATAAGTTTGAGAGGACATCTCCTCAAGGTCCGTTCGTCATAACACCATGAAGCTTTTTTTCTAGGTGCAAAATTTTAAATAAGTTCAAATTGTAAGTTTTTAGACCACATAAAGTTCAATATTGCTTAAAAAGAAGTGACAGTATTTATGTCAAAATAGTAGCTTAAAGAAAACATTGGAAGACAAAGTCCAGTCAATACTGCAGGCTGATGATGTTGAATTCTTTTTACAAGTACCCGTCTTTCTTCCTCCAAGTTTTACAGTTAAGCTTCTGAGACATTTTAATAGACTTTCCAATCAATTCAGTGATAATTTTAACAGTTGGACAGCTGCCCTCTAGTCAAAGAACATTGTGAATCAAAATGATTGCACGCCTGGAGCAATACATGTAACTAATGAAAGAACTTAACTAATTTTTGTGGTTCCAATATTCAGTCAAGCATGCTCCACATATAAAATGTACAAAAACTGGCTCTGGAACTAAGACCATATTCCAGCTCAACTACACCAGTTCATTAATAAATCACAACAAAAACATGCACTTAAACATGTAGACTAAACAAATATAGACAGAGAAGAAAATTCAGAATACCTTTCTTCCATGGGCAAGACAGGGGGGCCTTTGTTAGCAATAATCTCCTCATCACTTACAACACCAACCACCAATTCATCACCTAAAGCCTTTGCTTGCCTCAAGGCATTGGCGTGGCCATAATGCATAAGATCAAAGCAGCCATCCATGTAAACACGAATGCGCTTCTTCTCACGTCTTTTCTTGTGGAAGAGCCCCAAATCAGACCACATATAAGGTAAAGAGAAGATGCCAGTCCCACCAAAGTAGCTCGTGGACAACCCGAGCAAGGCAGCGGTGAGCATTAGTCCACCAAAGAGATGTGGGCAGTAATAGACCCCATCCCAAATCCAACTGTTACTCTCATACTCCATTATCGATTTTTCTTTTCTTCTTTTCAGAGAGTATATTTTATGTTTTGCTCGCTAGAAGAGACACAAAACCTGCAAGTTAAGACAACAAAATGAAGAAGGTAATCGAAACTATTTTCATTTTGAATCAAACCAGATGAGAACATCGGCCTTCAATTATCAGAATACAGCATCAACGTGCACGTGTCCCGAACCGAAATTCATCATTTTCTTTAATGTGAAAAACCAAAACGATAAAGAAAAAAGGGATGGATTCCACCAAACCACTAGGAAAATTGGAGAATCAGTTAAAAAAAAGAATTCAGAAACACAAATTTGAATAGAAATATTGAAATCAGATGATAGCAGCTTGTGTTTCAAATCTCAATTCACCCTACCAGCCACCCCACCCAGAATATATATAATTTCTTATACGTCCGGCAGAAAACCAGAAAAATTAGGAAAAGTATACGATAAACACGAACTGAACAGAAATATATAACTGAAGTATTAACTGAAAACGAAATAGAATTTGACTCACAGAATTGCGAAGAAAAACGAAAAGCTAAAGTTGAGAAAACCGAGGAAAATCATTACGATTTCGAATCCAGATTCCAGAAGAGAATTGAAATCAGAAACTCCAAAACATGAGTGTGAAAAGGAAAGGGACAGAGGTGCTGTCAGCATCAGATCGAATCTCTCACCTCTTTTCAATGGCGTTGGGTGTTTGCGTCTTGTGTCTCCTCTTTTCTTCTTCTCTCTTCTCTCCCTCTCTCTCTCTCTCTCTCCCTCTCCCTCTCTCTCTATCTCAATCTCCCCCCCTCGATTACCAGAAGGACCCCCTGCACGGGTATGGCGAGAAAAGCTGTCTTAAAATACCTGTTTTTTATTTTTATTTTTTAGGCGAAAAAAACAGGTCATTTTTTAACGTGTTGAAGTAATACTGGTAACAGTGGTAAAAGCGTAATTTCATATAAAGTTTCTTTTAAACGATGCCGTTTTAGATATGAAAAGACGTACAGCTTAAAAAAGGTGTCCTTCCAATATGAAAATTCCAACCAACCATACCAATATATTCTTTTCATATGTAATCATGATTTCTTAAAAGACTTTGAATAATTAATTTAACTGTAAAAATGATTATACTATTTACGTCACGTGTTTGTTTTGGCAACACGTGATTATTTTATCGTATGGTCTATTTATAGTAATAAATTATTTCATATATATTGATATTATTTTGAATTATTAATAATGTTAATTATCAATTACCGTTTGACTAATAAAGATTAATAATTATGTATTCGCTAAAACAATGAAAATCATAGTTAAAGGTATTGTAAATAGGTTTAAGTTATTAAATAAAAGTAGCTAAGTTTTTAATTTTTTTTTTTAAAAAAATATATATATATATATATATTCAAGTAAAATATTTACTATAAAAAGTAATGTTGATTATACTTTTTTCCAAAAAGCAAAAGATGGTTAAAAAGCAAATAATCACATGCTTTAAAAGTTCTCATTTTGAATTAAAAATAAATAAAATCTAGTTAAATTATTTACTGTGACATAATAAAGATCATATTTATTGGAATATCAAATAAGTAAATGATTATATAGTTCCATTTAAAAAATGTGAGAAAATTAGAAACTTCCATAACTTGCACTTTCTCATTTGATTTTAATCTAAATTGTGAAATTTACCCGTTTTATTGTAAATAAAACTCTTACCTTAATTACTAAGCTATTTAATTTGAGGTAGTTTACCTAATCCTAACAACTATTTAAGAATTATTTACTAAATAATTTAACTTTTTAATTTTTCTTAATTACATAGGTAGAGACATATATTTTACTTAAAAATAGGACTACATTGAACTCAAGAAATTAAAAATAAAATTTATTTTTTATTTTTTATTTTTAAATAGAACAAAAAATAATATTAGTTTAGTTCAAAATTCTACTATTAATTGATATTTTATTTCGTTCTTATTTTGTTTAATCTTATTCCAAATCAATGAATGCTTTTAGATGTAACTGGGTTTGGTTCATATCCATATACATGCGGAAATACAATTATATCGATTTATTAAAAAAAGAAATAAGAAAATTACAGTTTCTCCAAAAAATTTTTGACAAATAATAAAAAACCGCCCACTTTGCAAAACTAGAGTAAACTTCATGCCTTACGAGAATTTCATATGTATTATGTTGATTGTTTACTTTTAGTTTTCTTTTTCAAATTACAAATCGAACCAAAATATAAACATACAACCTGTTTGGTTTGCAAAATAAGAACGAAAAAAGACAACGTTAAGTGATGTCAAATACCATCACCAGACAACGTTAAGCCGTCCATCATGATTTAATCTGAACCGTCCGATCGTAATTAAATTGAAAATAAATCTGGGCTGTCCATCACGATGCGATCTGGGCAGTCCGTGCGTGATCAAATCTGGACCGTCCGTACGCGTGAGATCTGGGTCATCCACGCGCGCCTTTGATCTGGGTCGTACGTGCGCGTGGGAACAGATCTGGACCGTCTAATCGCGCGCACGCAGATCGCCCACGTGTCTCCGTCCCACGTGGCTTCCCGCATTAGCATCCCTGCCACGCGGCGTATCTTGGTTGGCCGGAGCTCCTGACGTGGTACTATTTTTCTAAATGACGTTTTGACCTCCGGTTTTCGATTTTCTTTTCAAAAAAACCCTCATAATCTAAATTTTCACAACTTTTTCCCAAATTCAATTTCAATTAAATTCCAAAAATAATTTTACCCCATTTTATTATTATTTTTATTTTTATTTCTATTAAATTAAATTAAATTAAAACTTTATAAATTAATTATTAAAATAAAATAAAATTAACAAAATTCTAAATTAAATTAAAATAAAATAAATAACATAAATCTTCAACTAGAGTCAATTCTACTGATTTCAACATCTGGATTCACCACACAACATTCCATTAAAGATTCGCTTGAATCAATACATCAACTATGTATTCCTGACACTACAACCCTCGCAACTCCTCAACAAGCACAAGAAATTAACCTTTCCATAAGCAGTATAGCTTATACTGTTTTGTACTTGGTCTAAAATGCTATGTTCTTTTCTTCATATACTTTCTTTGGAGCAAAAAGAAATTATCAACATTAACAAGGCACTAAACAGCTGCTATTCAAGCACGCGTAAGCGTTACAAATCAGTCAAAATTTTATAGTTCTCAAATCCTCATCAGAATTAAAAGCAACTCTTAGATAGAGAACCATGATCAACAGATCATACATTCCCTGACCCTAATTAGAAAAAAAAAAAATCTAGATAAAAAAGAACTATTGGATTTTTTTTTTTCAAATGACCCACATGATATACAAAGAGATGAGAAATGAGTTTTTTTCTCCTATGCTCACAAAAGATGCCTAGGTTTACTCTTGTCAGATCTCGATGAGATGCTTAGGTTTACTTTCACCAGAAATGGATATATAAGCCCACCTTAACACCCATGGAAATGGTTGAATAGTTTAAATAAACATAGAAAGCACAAATGTGGATACAATCATATTAAATTGCTACTCATCCATCTAACCCACAGCACAACCTCACACCCACTATACCTTTCAACTGCTCTTGTGTTCCTAACACTAGCACAAGGGTAAGAAAACTTTGAAAAATGAAAAGAAAATATATTATAGGCTTACCTTTCTGACTGAAATTAACAACCACCAAAGAGGATGACAAAGAGAATGAACCATTCAACATAAACAAGCTTGAAAATGAGAACAAAGCTATTTCTGCACTGCTAAGTCAAAACTTCAACTGACCAACAAAGAAGAAGCATCAGAAGAATATTGCGCTGGTAATCAAACGTTTATTGTAAGCTACTACAATGACTCTTAGACATCATAAAATTCGTTGTAATTTTTTATCTTTTTAGAGCAAATTTTTTCTTGAGATAATCCTTCTAGAGCAAATTGATAACTTTGCATAATAAATTTACTTATCAGTAGCTAAACATTAAGTGATTCCTAACAAAATTAATTAAATAGCTATAGAATGTTCCAAAATTTATGAGTCATGATACTCCAAGGCTATACAGTAACACTCTTCATTGGTAGATCAACTAGATTTTTTTTTAAAAACAATGTTTATGGTAACAAGTGTGTCTCCCTTTGTTCCTTAATCCCGTGATCTTAATTGAACTCTTTACCTATATATCTTTAGTAAAGTTTCCTTTCCTAAGCCACTCAACCTCCATCAAAGAGTTTTCACATCACATAAATCTAAAAATATGAAGAACTTTGGTTCATAATAGCTATACACGGATTTTACTTCTTATACCCAAATTTAGAACAATCACAAAAACAAACCCATATAACCAGCATTAGTAGTATCAACAAGATAATCATCAGTTACAATATAAAACCCTCATGGCTTGTGATACTGATAAGAAAAATTCAAAATTCTAAACTAAACAAAACTAAAAAGTCCAAGATCATCAAAGAGGAAATGTCGTCACACCCAAGCAAGACTCTCAATGTATTAGTACGCATCGAGTCATCCATCACACAGACCCATCGTCCCATACCAATCTAAATCACGCAGATTCTTGAATGTATTTTTTGCAGCATTATAAATAATTATCATACCTGGAATTCGGGTGAGAACTGATATGCCATGTTCATCTCCTCCACTTAAGGAGTAAAAGAAAAGCCAACACGGAGTAACCAACCGGAACAGGAAGAGAGGTGCGAAGCTCTGCATTTACAGCAATGGCTTCTAGAATATCTTTTTGGTACTTAAAAACCCAACGGGCGTAGTCTTCCTTCATGAGAAATATATTGAACATGGTATCACATGCGCCATAGATCTCAATAAGGTGGAGGGGGCCACGATGGTTCCCAAAGTATTTATACCTCCACTTCCGCTGGGAAGCCAGAATAGGATCCTGCGGTATTTTCACAACAGATCGTTTGTCCATATCAAAGCCAATGGATCCCCAATAGGGTTGATCCAATGGAGCACGCCATTCCAGAAAAATGCATCGTCGAAAACTATATTATATGGCGTAACAAAGGGACGCCCACAGACACTCCAAGTACCAATATCAGATTAATAGATCTCAATTTCATAACGGCACACTGACGATAAAATACAACAAATGCAGACCACCTAATAGTGACGAGACTTGCTGGGATCAAAGGCTAAATTAACGCCCAAATTGGTGGCGGATTTAGCAGCGATAGGAGAAAGCTTCGAGAACCATCTGATGGTCAGATTGCAGAGGTAGTAGTCGTGTGTGGAGCCAATTTTGACCAGACTCGAACAAAGCAGCAAGCCATCGCATTATTGCAAAATTTTCAATCCGGTTGGATCATCGACAAAATCGAGAGGGTTGGAAGTGGATGTATTGGTTTTTTCGGTGAAGGAGATGAATTCTATTTCGTTCGATCTCCTGCGCATGAAAGCTCCGGAGGCTTTGGGGGAAGCATTGCAGCGAGCGTGCCAGCAACAGAATTGGGTGTTGGAGATGAGAGCGAATCATTATTTGGATACCAGTTTGAATCGGATAAGTTGTGGTGCGAAAACACGTCGGAGGATTTCTTTAAGTAGATTTTCGTTTCTAAACACTACCACTGCTAATGAAACTGAGCTCGCCATTTTCGTTTCACCTTTCATTGGCGCGACAACAGTCGGGGTAAGATAAATGATATATATATATATATATAATTTTTCTTTTTTTTTTCTTCTTCTTTTTCTTTTTTGTGTACAGATGTCTGAAGAGAATTGATCAATTGCTTAGATGCCCATCTAGGCTTTAGTGATTGTATGTTCAACTCCACTAAGGGTTCTTAAAGAAAT